TATAGACACTTGCAGTCTAAATGACATGTATTGAGTTGCTACAAATATGGACTCTTGGACTGCTACGGTTAATTTCGAGACTACCTTCCCTTTGCATTTGAGGCACATCAAGCAAGTCTCGAAGGGCAATTTGTAAGCATTGAAAATTTAAATAGTATTGTTGCACCGTTGTGGATAATTGATTGTTAAATTAATTACTTTAATTAAGCTAATTAGACTGGTATTTATTTAATCGGGTTAATTAAAATGGCCCATTAAATATTTATTTGGTTTAATTGCTTAATTAAATGTAATTGGATGTTGGAGTGTTCGGCCCGAAACGATGAAATATTTAATTTAGTTGGACCGGGCTGCTTGGAGTAATTGGGTTGCTAATTAGCGGGTTTGACTTGGTCTTGGCCCATCAAAATTATATGTGGATTATATAATTTTGAGAAATTTGAATATTTGATATTATTTGGAAATTTAATGAAATCATGAACCTGTACGCAATGGTGTCCCGATACATTCCTTAATTTAATTAAAGAAATTAAATTAAATAAGGAATTAAGAGTTGGTTGGAGATTTTCTCTCACCCTCACCACTATAAATAGTGGTTTCATTTTCAAAGAATGGGCTCTGAAAATCTGCATATCGAAGCTCTGCCGAAATCTCGCCAGGATATCGTCTGGAACACGCCCGCAGTTATATATATACTGCGTATATTGCGCTGAGGAATACGCCACTTGAACACCGGAAGCCCTTCTTTGAAGATCAAGCTGCATATTAGCCCTTCATTGAAGAACAAGCTACATAACTCCGGAGGCCCTTCAGCAAGGAACTACTTCCAGTTCGGCATACTCCCGAACTCGGCATACTTCCAGTTCGGCATACTCCCGAACTCGGCATACTTCCAGTTCGGCACACTCCCGAACTTGGCATACTTCCAGTTCAATATACTTTGAACTAGGCACACTTCCAATTCGGCATATTCCGGATTCGGCATACTTCCAACAAAGAACTACTTCAAGTTCAGCATACTCTGAACTCGGCACACTTCCAATTTGGCATATTCCAAATTCGGCACACATCTAATAGGCATACTTCTAGTAGAGAATCAGAGGACTTCTCATATACAGAGATTGTACCCCTTCTTGATTGATACATACTACTTGTAACCGATACTTTGAATTTTGAATATATACGATTCAAGTTTTTCGCGTTTACACCTACAATCACACAGTGCCCGCAATCGACTCGTCCAGTGAGATGCAGGATGTCGCCGAGCGAAACCGTCGTTGGTACGCGAAGAAGAAGGAAGCAAATAGTTTCCCTTTTTGTTTTAAATGTAAAATGACCGTTTTGCCCCCAAGAATAAAAAATTTAAAAATATTTAAATTTTTTCGGCAACATTTGGCCAGCGATTTGGCCGGGAGGACTAAATGTATTAAAAATTGCATAGTTACGAGACTAAATTGATAGTTTTTAAAGTAAAATACTCAAATTAACAAGACCACCATAGTCACAGGACCAAAAATGTAATTTTTCTCTACTAATAAGCTATAAGCTCTGTTTGATTATGTTCCCAAATTAAGCTCGTAACTTAAAATAAGAGCTTATTTTGAAATGTTACCTAAGGTAGCGTTTCAAAATAAGCTATTAGCTTCCTAACTTTTTTTTTTTTTTTTTCATCTTTGTCCTTATTATTTTAAAGAAATGACATCTTTTATCTTTTTAAATTAAAATTCTTTTCTCTTCTCCAACATTCACCGCAATTATTATTATTATTATTATTATTATTATTATTATTATTATTATTATTATTATTATTATTAGTATTGTTATTATTTTTATTATTGTTATTATTGTTATTATTATTATTATTATTATTATTATTATTATTATTATTATTATTATTATTATTATTATTATTATTATTATTATTATTATTATTATTAGATGAAGGAGATTTGCAACAATATTGCTACTTCATTATGGGATGCTAAATCATGATTATGCTAATACTTTTATTTCAAAATGTTATTTTTTAAAGATAAAATGTTAAATTTTAATATGTAAACAAACTAATTTAAATTTTATGAAGATGTCTTTTTTTTTCTTTTTTTCTTTTTACATTTATCAACTTATAAAAAAGCTAATTTTACCAAACACTTTCAAGCGTAACAGCTAGCTTATCATCTCTTCAGTTTACAGCTCCTAGCTTATAGCTTTTCAGCTTTAAGCTCCTTTTAAGCTTTCAGCTACTATTCAGCTAGGTTTGCCAAACATAGCCGAAGAGGATGAATAAAAATATATGAAACGAGAAAAAGCTAAAAGGGTTTTAATTGAGAACGGTAAAAGATGTCATTTATTTAAAATAATAAGGGTAAAGATAGAAAAAAAAATTAAGAAGCTCATAGCTTATTTTTGAAATGTTATCTAAATTCTCAAAATGGGTTCTTATTTTAAGCTACTAGCTTATTTTGAAACATTATTAAACAAAACCTATAATTTATTAATAGGTTAAAATAAACTATAAACTCCTAAATAAGCTCAGTCAAATAGAACTTTTTTTTTTTTTTTTTGAAAATCAGTCAAATAGAACCTAAAATTAACTAAATTTATAACTAGGCTCTAAGTACTTAAAAACAATTTAGAATTTTCTCATTAATTTTTTGGTCAATTTGATTATAACTTTTTTGATTATTTCGATTTAATTGGCCTAATATAGACCTCAAGAATCACCCATGTTTTGACACGTTTTACGTTGGATGACTTTTTGGTGAGTGTGTGTGTTTTTTGTTGTTGTTGTTGTTTTTTATTTTTATTTTTTTTTTATTTTTTTATTTTTTATTTTTTTTAAATGTTGACTTTGAAACAGTGGAGATGTGAATGTGAGTGTAATTGTGGTTGAAACAATCTTATCACATTAAACTTTGACCTGTATTCCTTGTATGCTACGTATACGCCCACTTCTATTCCTTGTATTATACTCTACATAGAGGGATTGACTCAAATAAAAGGGTAATTCATTTCTTTCTTTAGATTATTGTACATGGATTATTAGAAAAATAGCATTAAAATACTATTTTAAATGGTTATTTTATGGTACAATTATCGATGGGATCTATTTTTTATTTCGGTCGGGTCAAAGTGAATTCGGGTTCTCCGTAGTGAGACGAAGAGATTGATATATTGTACGCTCAAAATGGATAATGGGTGAATAAGATATTGATTCTCAAAGTAGACCCATTGAGTTGGAAAAATGAAACGAAAAAGATGAGCTTTTGTCCCACATTGGTTTGGGAAGTGAATTTGCACCACTATTTATACAAGGGTCTACTTGAATTGTATAACATAGAGGTTTTCTCTCGCACGCAGGGTGGGGTGCAAATCAAATCTCAAATTGAGATTGAAAAGGCTTGAACTCGTGTACGCCGCGCGAATGTCCGGCGTACTAACTATCTTTCTTCATCTCAATTATAATTTGGAGGATTATAAATTATATTTTGGTTGATGTATATATATATTTTCGTAGATATATATATTTATAATCGTGGGAGCTGATTGATATATATTTGTGTGTGTGTGTGTGTGTATATATATATATATATATATATATATATATATATATATAAAATATAATATAATATAATATAATATAATATAATATTATTTTTGGTAAATCGACTTGGTTCATTATTTTTCAACAATATAAAAATCTTACTCTTTGTATGAACAAGTCGATGGATTCCAATAATGTTGAAATCGTGAATTTTGCTTGTGATGCACATTCGAATGATCGTTTTTGTTTGTTTTTGGGTGTTTTTGTTACCCTCTGTTACGTCCGTACAATCAGAATAAATTACAGTTTCGGTCTGTTCCCTGTGTTTTTCTTGGTTATCCGCCTCCGTTTCGTGGCTACCACTATTTGGATCTTGATAATAATAAGGTTTTCATTTGCCGCCATGTGCGGTTTGATGAAACAATTTACCCGTTTGCTACTTCTATGACTATGCAAGCTTTAGGCTCGGGTTTTGTGTCTCCTTGGGGCGTTGACAGCGTGCGTGGGATTCCCGGTTCTGATGTGTGCGCTATTCCGTCTAGGTCTAGTGTGCGACCAGAAGGTGCGTCTGCCTCGCAGGCTTGCAGTTCCCGCACCGTCTCTGATTTGGTCCCTGATGGCACTACTGTAAATGCATTTGTACTATGTAGCCGTTGGAGCAAAAAACATTATGTCTTTTGTCCTTGTTCACTGACAAGATAGTACAAGTCTTTTAATGTTCTTTGTCTTTAGTGAAGATTATTCCCAGGACACCTTTTGTCCGAATGATTTGCCCAACTGATTGATAGACAACATTCTCATTGTTTCCATTAATGAGAGTTGTTTTTTAACAAGTCTGTCCTTGACTTGTATATTTGGGACTGAAAGATTGTCCTTATCTTTCGTCCTTTCCTCTTGAACGAAAGTCCCTTTTGTCGAAGCAGTCCGTCCGAGACTTGCTTTAGTCCCCCTTTCGTTTGTAGGCAACTTTCGATCATCTTCGAGCCTTCATGTAGACCTATTCTACTAGTCTCGTGCATGATTCAACATTTCATGCCTATGTCATACGAGACTTTCTATTAAACAAAAAATAGGGGTCTACATCCTAAGACAGTTTGGTATCATCAAAATCTATAAACACTTGTTCCTAACAGGGCAGCCTGCGCCCAAGCCGGTTCAGCCTCGGTCTCATGTGATGGTTACTCGTAGTATGGGTCCGACTGAGCACGTAGCGTTGGTGTCTACTGCGGTTGTGCCTGAACCGACGTGCTACTCTCAAGCGGTGCAGTACCCTGAGTGGCGTGAGGCCATGGATTTGGAGTTCAATACCTTACTCAAAAATAATACTTGGTGTTTGGTTCCGCGTACTCTAGGTATGAATATTGTGGCCTGCAAATGGGTTTTCAGGACGAAGCGGAAGACAGATGGCACGGTGGAGAGGCATAAGGCTCGGTTGGTTGCGAAGGGGTTTAACTAGATGGCCGGGCAGGATTTCTTTGAGACGTTTAGTCCGGTGGTTAAACCGACTACCATATGGGTCCTTCTATCCTTGGCCGTTTCGCGTGGTTGGACTATCAGACAGTTCGATGTTCACAACGCCTTTTTGAACGGTAATCTTGCTGAGATGGTTTACATGAAGCAACCACCGAGTTATGAGGATAAGGCTACATCGGATCACTTGTGTTTATTGCAACGGTCGTTGTATGTTCTTAAGCAGGCTTCCCAGCCCTGGTTTAATCAGTTGCACTCTTTCTTGGTTTCGGTTGGGTTTACTCCGTCCAAGACTGTTGTTTCCTTATTTATTTACACTCGTGATTCTGTTCAGTTATATCTACTTATGTATGTAGATGACATTATGGTGATGGGTTCGGATTCCTTTTTTGCGTTACTGGTCTTCTTGCGGAGTTGGTGTCTAAGTTTAAGATTCATGACATGGGTACTCCGTCCTTTTTCCTAGGCATTGAGACAATCCCTTGGCATGATGGTTTACTTTTCTCTCAGCAGCGGTATATGTGGGATATTCTGAAGCGCGCAGGTATGGTAGATTGCAAGGCTTTAGCTACCCTGGTCTCTCTTACTCGTGCTTCTGAGGATTCGACGACTCCGTACGCAGATCCTACACAGTATCGGAGTCTCGCTGGGGCTTTGTTGTATCTTACCGTTACGAGACCAGACCTGTCGTTTGCAGTTAATAAGCTTTGTCAGCATATACACTCTCCTATCACTGCACACAGGAGCTTGCTCAAGCGAGTTTTGCGATATGTCAAAGGTACTCTTCATTTTGGTTTGCATATTCGTAAGTCCGCGTCTGTTGATATGCATGCGTTTTCGGATTCGGATTGGGCTGGTGATCCTAATGAGCGGAGGTCTATGAGTGGTTTTGCGGTTTTTCTAGGGAGTAGTCTGGTTTTCTAGACTTGTTGGAAACAGCGTACTGTGGCACGTTTGTCCACTGAAGTTAAATATACGGCGCTAGCTGATGTGTTTGCGGAGGTTACCTAGCTGGTTTCTTTGCTGCGTGAGCTTGGTTTGTGTCCGGTGTCGCCACCCACTCTCTGGTGTGACAATTTGGGGGCCACTTACTTATGTGCTAATCCAGTTTTTCACGCACGGACAAAACATGTGGAGATGGACTACCACTTTGTTCGTGACAAGGTTGTCAAGAAGGAATTACAGGTTCATTTTATTTCCATGAAGGATAAGCTAGCGGATGTCTTCACTAAGGCTCCTCCTGGTCCACGATTCTCCTTTCTACGTAGCAAGCTCAATGTTGTCTCGCTTCAACCTTGTGCTTGATGAGGAGTGTTATGAGTCTATATTTTAGTTGTTGAGTTACGCTAGGACTCATCTTATTGTAGTCTTATATTATCTTTGTACATTCAGTATTATTGTTATTAAGAGATATATCAATCCTCATCAATATAGCACTGGGTACTTTAGATTTCGGTGTATCCAGATATCATATATAAACCATGTTTGATAACATAGTTAGCTTATCAACCAATTTCAGCTTATTTGACCACTATTAGTTGTCTGATTTGGTCAAACAACCAATATACGTGTTTGATTAATTAGCTTTCTGTTACAACTTATTGCACCAAAACACTAAAATTTAAAAAGTTGTTGAAAACAACTTTTTCGATAAGCTTTTTGAGAAAGTCATTTTACATGTAATCAACTATTAGCTAATTTACTAAACATCTTTCTACAATAAGCTAATGCTATCAACTAATTAAAGTCATTAACCTAATCAACTAACATCTATTTGCCAAACACCCATACAGCACGTTTGGTTCACGGAATGAATTTTGAGGTAATAGGAATGCTATTCCATAAGGAATGGAATAGGCGAGAAATAGAATAGGAATTGTATTATATTGTTTGGTTCGCGGAAGGAATAGACTTTAGAAATTATATTACAGTGTTTGGTTGATTTAAGGAATAGAAATGAAATATGTTTTAAAAGACATAAATACCCTTATAAAAATTGGTGGTGGTGGCGATGGTAGTGGTGGTGGCGGTGGTGGTGGTGGTGGTGGCGATGGTGGTGGTGATGGTGGCGATGGCGGTGGTGGTGCTGGGGTGGTGGTGGTGGCGGTGGCAGTGGCAGTGGTGGGGGCGACGGTGGTGGTGGTGACGATGACGGTTGTGGCAGTGGTGGTGGGGCGGCGACGGTTGTGGTGGTGGTGGTGTTGCTGGGTGGTGGTTCTGGTGGCGGTGGTGGTGGTGGCAGTGGCAGTGGTGGGGGCGGCGATGGTGGTGGGGACGGCGATGGTGGTGGTGGCGGCGGCGTTGGTAGTGGTGGTGGCGGCGATGGTGGTGGTGGTGGTGGTGGCGGCGGCTGCGGCGATGGTGGTGGTGGCGACGACGATGGTGAAATAGGATAAATTTATATATAGGATAAAAAAAATTAGGTTAAATAAAGGGGTAAAAAAGAAAATAGATTCTAAAATCTATTCCTGAGCGTTCAGTAATAGGCTAATACCAGGGGGGGCCCTAGTAATAGCTATTACCTTATTTGAGGTAATAGGCTATTACCAGGAATATTATTCCTGGTAATAGAAATGGTTACAAAACAAAGGAATAGGCCTATTACTGGGAATACTATGCCATTCCCAGCCTATTCCGTGAACCAAACGGGCCAATAGAGTATTATCTAAATAGATGTTAGATATCGCGTTTGATCCTCAGAATTGTCAATGGTATTTTAATTCTTGTTTATTTATAACTATTACAGCACGTTTGGTTCACGGAATGAATTTGGAGGGAAAAAGAACGCTATTCCACAGGGAATGGAATAAGTAAGAAATAGAATAAGAATTGTATTCTGTTGTTTGGTTGGCTGAAGGAATAGACTTGAGTAATTGTATTCCAGTGTTTGATTGGTTAAAGGAATAGAAATGAAATAGGTTTTAAAGACATAAATACCCTTATACATAATAATAATAATAATAATAATAATAATAATAATAATAATAATAATAATAATAATAATAATGAATATGATTATGATATACTGAATGTTATATATATATATATATATATATATATATATATATATATATATATATTATAGTTTTTTTACGCGCATCGCGCGATTGGGATAATGCCCAATGCTTTTTTTTAAATAAGTACTTTAAAATATATTAAGACAGGATTATATTGAAATTGTTCATGCATAGATAATTGAAGGTTGAATTTGCGTATTTAAATAGGTAATTCTTCTCCCAAAGGTTGAGTCCCCAACCCCAAGGGCCCCCACACTCCGACCCGACAGAGCATTGTGGGAAGTTGTAAATCACGGTGACTTAATGGTTCAGCAGACAGGGCCAAATGCTGATACACACAAGGAATCTGTCCACTTTGGACATAATTCCCGCACTGCCGCCGCCGAGGTTCAAACCTTCGTCTCTTCTCCCAAATACTACCCACTAAACCATTGAGCTAAGCCCGTGCGGGTTAAATAGGTAATTCTAAGTTTACAAATGCAAGATAATATAGTCAATATTGATTATAATTGTCAATAAAATAATTGTATAAGTATCGTTGAAACCAAATACGGGACATAAGGGAGAACAAATAAAAATTAGGACATAAAATATTAAATATATACTAATATTGTTTGAGGAGATTCCGACATTAGGATTTGTGGTTAAGTTCTATTAAGACTTTAATATTAGAATTAGATTAATGGTGTAGTTATAATTCTATATTAGACTTTAATATTAGAATTAGACTAATGGTGAATTAACGAAAAAGTTAAATGGATAATCATATAATTAAGGATAAATTAGAAAATCTTAAAAGAAAAAATTAAAACCTGAACAATATGAACCATTCATTTGATTTAATAATTTGGCGATCATTTTTTCTACCCAATGTTAATAATTAAATAAATTCGATGGTCAAATCCGCTAGTATAATCCGCCAACGTTAACCGCTAACTGCTGATTGTCAAACAAGGACATTGCGAGGTAGTTCTCACTTCAATTTGTTGTATGATTTGAATACTCTCGTTGTCACAAAATCTCTCAAGTAGTTAATATGGTTGACTTTATTAATTATATTTTTTAAATTTTTTCATGGTATTAATAAAATACTTGGTAAATAAATATATAGCATTATTTTGTATTATAACTTTGATATTTAATTAGAAAAATAGTGCACAAAAAAGATAATAGATAATGTAGTGAATATAATCAATTGATGAATTTGAATGTAAAAATTTTTACATTTGAGAAAAATAAAGACAATATAACTAATGAAAATATTTCTTTTAATTAATTTATTGATAATTAATAAAAAATTTTTTTTCACTGAATAAAGACATTGTAAGGATAATGTAGCGAATATAATCAATTAATAAATTTGAATATAAAGAATTTTTATATTGAAGAAAAATAAAGACAATATAACTAATAAAATTATTTCTCTTATTTAATTGATTGATAATGAATAAAATTTTTTTTTTGAATAAAGGCATTGTGGACACATAATTCTAAATTAAAGAAATGCATATGTATTATTTTTTGTTGTAACTACTAAATTATTATTTATATAATTTAATAAGAGTAAAATAGAGTACTAATTATGCTAACTTTGATTGAGATGAGGTTCGAACCTAAGACCTTTTTTTTTATTGAAATCAATGAGTAAGTTAACGGTGAACTAACGGCAATTCTTAAAATTTTAACGGAATTAGTAACGATGTGTGGGTATTTTAGAAAATTTTAGTGTAAAATTTAAATCTGATCAATCTTTTAATTAATCTGAGCCATTCATTTGATTAAAATCTGTGACCGCCATTTTTTCTACCCATTATAGGCCTAACTCTCTTGGGCTCTTATTAGTATAGTAGATATTTATATACATGTATATGCATGTGTGTGTGAGAGAAAGAATAATAATAATAATAATAATAATAATAATAATAATAATAATAATAATAATAATAATAATAATAATAATTATTATTATTATTATTATTATTATTATTATTATTATTATTATTATTATTATTATTATTATTATACAAATAAATATTTATATTTATATTTATTTTTCACTTATCCCACATCGGTTGGAGAAGTAAGGAATGGAGCCTTGAGACTCCTATAAAAAGAGCATCAAGGCTCCATAATTTCAATTGCAATGCTCATCCGCTAGGCAAGCTTGCAATGCTCATCCGCTAGGCAAGCTTGCAATGCCCATCCGCTAAGCATGGGCAGACTACTTAATTAATAAAAGGAGCACCAAGGCTCCATAACTAAGGAGTCTTATACAGTTAATTTTTTTTATTTACATATATATATATATATATATATATATATATATATATATATATATATATATATATACACACACACACCCAAATAATTTATTTAAATATATATATATTTATTGATAGATAAAAATTATAATTAATTAAATATATACATTTATATAATAAATTATATTTATTAAATAAATATAAATATTATATAATGTGCAAAGGGTATTTTTGATATTTGTGATATAAAAACTATTCCCAAGGGCATGGGAATAGCTAATACCAAGGCCCCCCCTAGGAATGGCTATTCCCCTTGCGAAGGTAATAGCTCATTCCTAGGTATGCTATTCCCATGATAAAATGATCCAACCAAACGATGGAATAGGTCTATTCCAAGAAATGTTATTCCATTCCTGACCTATTCCATGAACCAAACATGTCATTATAATTTAAATAATTGTATCTTCACCCCTTAATAATTATTACTGTAGTTAACAGCTGTAAACAAAAAATAAACCCCCAAAGATTTTATAGGTCTAATCCCTACAATGCAAAAATGTGGAAGTTCACGTATAATTAGGCAGCATTGACCATGATCATTTAACTCTAAAATTTTCAAAGGGGGTTAGGAAGATGGTAAGATAAGCTGGGAAATTATCCAATTTTGTGACCTCATTAACTTGTTGATTAATCCTATTCCACCATCTAGAAGAAATCAAGGCATCCACCACAACTTTTTAACAGTACGTGTAGAAGCAAGAAACAGTAACTAAGAGCGATCTTTGGAAATTTCTTCAAGTGAAAACGAGTTAAGAGTGGTTGAAATTTCGTTACAATTGTGAACGAATTAATTAAATTTTTGAAATATATATTTAATCTCAACCACAAATTTTACAAGTGGAATCGTGAACCTGTCTTGATAAGAATTATTTTTTTTTTCTTTTCTTTTGCCCTTGAATTTTAAATGCATGTCTGGAGTAGATTGTCAGCACAATGCACTCATACAGTTTCCGTGAGATTCTACGGTTAAATATGAGCCATTGATCTTGGTTGAATCAACGTTTAGGATTAACAATGATTTTAAAAAATCGTAGTGATAATTTGGTTTTTTTTGCATCTAGGTCAAATTTAAGGTGTGTGATTTTCCTTCTTAAAGTGCGTGGTTTTTGTAATGTGTGTCTTAAGGTGCGTCAGTTGTTGAAAATTTAAGTGTGTCGATCTAAAGCTTAAGGTGCGTTGTTTGTGTGTTTAAGGTGTGTCAGTTGTTGAAATTTAAGGTACGTCGGCTTAAAGCTTTAGGTGTTTGGTTTTCCTTCTTAAGGTGTGTGATTTGTATGCTTAAACTTTTGGAGCGTGGTTTATGTTCTTAAGGTGCTTTGTTTGTGTGCTTAAGGTGCGTGATTTGTGTATTTAAGGTGCGCCATTTTAATGCTTAAGGTGCGTCTTTTTATATACGTTACGAGGTTAATTAGTTATGAGTGTAACGTGTCTCATAACAATAGAAAGGACTTGCGAATGCCTTTCATTACGACTCGAGTTGCGCGCTAATGCATACTCATAATAGCATAAATGACTCGCGGGTGTCTCCCATTACGAACGCTGTTATGAGCGTAACACTGCTCGTAACAACAGAGATGACTTTTTGAATTTGAGCATTACAAGCCTTGTTACGAGCGTAATGTTGCTCATAACAATAGAGATTTGGATTTTTGCTCCATTTTGTTCAAATTATCCTTGAATTTGTCACTTTTTTCCTTCAAAACACAAAAATGCGCAAAATTAATCTTTCAACATAATTTATCACATATTTGAACATTTTAAGCACAAATAAATTAAAGCAAATCAAATCCTAAATTAGCACATTAATGTTGATAGTATAAATTGGACCGGGGTTGGGACTATGCTACGAATACGTATATGGTGAACAAGTAGAAGGGCACTTAGTCAGTCGGTTGGTCAGACCGGTCAGTCGGTCGGCTGGGTGACAATCAAGTGGACAAAGGTTATGTTGTGTTATGGAGAAGACGATTACAAGTGAAGTAGGTTACAAAGTAATAAATATGACAAGTGGTATCGAAACATCATATTCTAAGTTCAACAAGTGGAGAATTCATATTATAAGCCATTATAACCCTACACTTAATGCATCAAAACTTTGTATCGAGTACCAATTTTATTTATTAATTAGACTTATATGAGAGTCAAAGAATACTTGTGACCTAGCATGTTAGTTTTATGATGTTTCTCATCTATTCATGATGGAATTAATTAATCGGGAGGCTGAATTAACTAATACCAATTAATTAAAGGAATATAAAGATAAGAAATAAGCTTTTGGAAAAGAGAACATGTCTTGTATTAAGATCCTTGTGTAAGGAGATTACAAGACCTATCATAACAAAACAAAATGATCTATTCATACTAATTAAACCTCTTTGGTAACCGCCCCGCGTGAAATGGGCGAGCGATTGCAGTATTCTTTGACTAAGTCTCAGTCGGCTCATTGGCCGAGCCGAGGTCACCCTCGGCCCCAGGCCTCGCTCGTATTCGGCCCCGAGGCCGGCTTTGGGCGCACGGAGGTTAGTTTTGTGACTTTGAGGCCAGCCTTGGGGCCCCCAATGCCAACTACGGGGTCGTCCCAGGTTGACTTGACCCGCCTCCTCAGGTCAGTTTGCTTCGTATTCTTTTCTAATATATCTATCAATTATCATATTCTCTGCCTCTAAATTACTCAATTTTGGGTAGCTCCGAGATCTAGAAAACCATCCATTTTTGTTCCCAATTCATAGTATATATCTACATTATCCCTGATAGGTGTAAGTAAGTTAAATGAATTACTTATAAATTCCATTTAGAAGAACCTTATCAAACAAGTAATAACAACTTTGACATCAACATTTATATTTTATAGACTATAGATATAAAAACAGTCTCAGAAATTGACAGAGAAATACATATCAATCTCTACTTTTAATCCGCTCTAAATTTTCAATTTCTTAAAGATTTAAAACATGCACATCCTATCTGTTTGTGTGTGCATATAATACAGTGATGATAATTTTTCTAGATGTTTTTACAGTGATCGAATTTTTGATAATAAATTTTAGATTTTTGACTATTTTCAATAGTAAGAAATCTCAAATTTTATTTATTTATTTAAAAATGGCACATTTTTAATAGCAAAACACCCAATCTCATTGATTTTATGTTACACAGACATACATACTATATTTATACATCATATGTATGCATAAACATTATCTCTACAGTGTATGTATACATTCAAGAACTAATTAAATAGTAGCATGCAAAAACAATCACTGAAATATGCTTTCCAACAAAGAACTATTTCCTTCGTCACAAAAAACTTTCTCCCATGCACTAAAGTCATCGTCGTCACCACCACCACTACCACATTGCATCGCACCCATTGGGAACATTTGGTCGGAGATAGACGTCTCTGGCGTTGCCGAGACAAGCGGTGGGAGCGATGAGATATTGCTCGTTAAAACCCTAGGGACCAAATCGTCGTTGCCCGGCACGAATCCAAAGGAGTTTGACATGGGAGAGGGCTGATCGAGCACTGATTCGATAGTGTATGAGTTCGGGGTGGTGGACAAGGGGTGATCAAAGAGGGGAGATTCGTTTGATCCAACGTTAAAGTTGTCGAAAGTTGTGACATTATTGTTGTTCAACAACAATGGAACATTATTAATGTTGTTTTGTACTAAGGGTAAAGGGATGTTGTTGTTGTTTAGGATTTGGGCAATGTTTTGGAGGAGTTGTGCATTGGCCATTTGAGTGAGATTTGCTTGCAACCTGAGAATAGACTCTAATGGACTGATAATTGGATTATTATTATTGAAGGAATTATAATAATTATGGGGAAGATTATTGAGAAGATGATTGAGATTAGGTAATGGTTTATGAGTGATTGGATCGATTCCCATTCTCATAAGCTTTTTCTTTATATGTGTGTTGAAATAATTCTTCACTTCATTGTCTGTCCTTCCAGCTGGAAGTTTAGCTGCAATCTTTGACCACCTGCAATTACACCCAAATTTAAATTTAGCAAATTATTATGCTGCTTAATTAACCCCAATATTCATATTGTACTCTAGAATATATATTTGATGTAAAAAATTTAAATATTTGAAAATAAAATTAAGTTCATACTTTCTCAATCTATTGAAGCACAAAGAGTCAATCCACAGTCATGCCGCTCGACCACAAGGTTTTTGGCGGTTAGGTTTACTATTTAAATAAGCATAGAAGTTGATCTAAAATTATTTAATTTTTGAAAATCTTAAAGCATATCACAAATGATATGGAAGGAACAGGTAAAATAATGTTAAGTTGGTTATACCTTTACAACTTGCTTTAAAATATTATTAACTTGGCTAACCAGTAACGAGACATGATAAAACAGGTAAAAGGAATGAGGGATTATAGTAAATTTTTATTCATCTTAAGTGAGAAAAGAAACTGCACCAATTTAAAAAATTTTAGGTCAAGAAATACCAACAACATAAGCAATAAGGACTGTTTGAATCCCGGGTAAGAAGTCCAAGAATTGGAGTAATTTTTAAAAATCTAGTATATAAAAAGTATTAAGTTTCTCTCAAACAATCTAGAATTAGTATCCAAAAAATTATGAAAGCATATACACTTCAAAAAATTTACTTCACATTTGGAAACAAAACAAAACAAAGTATTCATTGCTAGTTGAAATAATATAATTATAAGAAAATTCTAAAATCTCGAAAAAAAACTACTGTAACTATTATCTGGACAATATTTTTTAAAACAAACCATATGATCCATTTCTATTTATAGTAACACCCACGATCTTCTCAACTCTGTATATAATTTTCTTGTAATTATATATATTTCTGATTTTGATAAAACAAAAATAGAGAAGTCATTGTAATAATATAATACCTATTTCCAAGTTGTTTGTGGAGTTGAATGATCATATTCTCTTCTGCCTCAGAAAAACTTCCCCTCTTAATATCAGGCCTCAGATAATTGGTCCATCGCAATCTACAGCTCTTTCCGCAGCGGTTTAACCCGGCCCGTTTGGGAACCAGTTGCCAGTTCCCAATCCCATTTTCATGAATATAATCTGCGAGCTTTTTATCCTCTTCTGTTGACCATGGCCCCTTCTTCAACTCTGCAGAACTCTCTTTGCAGCAGGGATATCTCCCCATTTGCAAAAACTTATTAGCTTTTTGAATGGGAAGAATTCAAGTGTGTTTAAAGAAAATCTGATTCTCAAACTTAGTTATGGAGAGAGAGAGAGAGAGAAGGAGAAGCTTTGGGTTGTAATGGAGAGAGGTGATGTGGTTTATATAAGTTGATGGACAGCACAGTTCTATGCACAAGTCAACTTTTTTTCTTCATATTACTCTTTTTATTTTTATTTTTAAAACATATATACTTATTATGATAATAAAACTCTATGAATTAAGTGTGTCTATCCCTCATTTAAAAGTTGTACATTGTTTTTTGTTAATGGTACATAAGGGCTCTATTTGGTTGGGAGTTTTTATTTAATTTAATTTCTTTTTTAGAGTTTATAACTTATTTGAACCTAGTGTTTGATAAAACGAGGAGAGTTTAAAACAATAACTAATTTTGAAATGCTCTTTCAAGTAGCGTTTCAAAATAAACTATAGGCTTTTAACATTTTTTTATCCTTATTAATTTACAAAAATGACATTATTTACCATTCTTTAATCAAAATTCTAATATCTAAATTTTCCTAATTTAATATCTAATTTTTTTTCTTCTAAAAACTCCACCTATAAGTTCTTTACTTGTATTCTTTCTAAACATTCTTCTCTTCCCAGTTCTTTACCGTACATGTTCATCAATGTGAGAGACAAACAATACTCATCATCCTTGTGTTGTAATCCTTCAAGGTAATCAATCTCTCTTTTTTTTTATTATTATTATTTAATCAGATCTAGTAATATGTGTATATATATATATATATATATATATATATATATATATATAGTCTTTTTACACATCATCTTATTCAACAGTTAATTTTACCAAACACTTTAATTTCAATCATTTAGCTTATTAGCTACTAGCTTTTCAGCTGGACGTGCCAATCAAAGCTAACAAGAAAAATAGAAAATTCAACTTATGAAGCGTAGTGTATAACTTTGTAAAGCTCACAAAATTGTAAAATTTTCTTGTACTTCAAGGATAGAAACTCTTGATATACAACAACTATAATGATCGAGTTCTTGACAAATGTGGAGCTAGTTGAGTTTTTGCTTAGACTTTAAAGATAATTAGTAGTTATTTCTTCTTTTTTTTTTTTTTTAATGCTACTAGCTCTATTACATTGTAGTATCTGTTCATATACTTTCTCAACCTATTGAAACACAAAGAGCTAATAACACCTCCACTGAGGCTCAAACTCACAACCTTTCAAGTGGAAGTCCAACCCCGATACCATTGGACCACATAGTCCTCTTCTTCTTCTTATTGTTAATATTATTATATTATATAAGTAAACAAAAAGTAATTAAGAAAGCTTACTACAATACGGCAAGGAATTGAAGTCGCCTAGCTACTGCCCATTTTGGCTGAAATATTCAGCACTAGAAGAGAGAGAGAGAGATGAAGGTCCAAAGAAATTTAATAAATAATTAGATTAAATTAAGTATTAGGTAAGTATATTGGTAATGTCAAACTCAAAACAGGTAATATCTTGTTGAGGTTTAGAAACCACGTGTTCGATGGCTACCATAACTCTTTCTTTATTTTCTCTCATTTGTGGTGGTTGTTCCCAAACATTTATTATTGCAAAATTATGTTTTTATTTTATATCATTAATATTTCGTATATACTATTCATAATGTACTTAATTTAAATGTTTTTAAAATGTGTTGTACAATCATGATTTATAATATATCTAATATCTATATTGAAAATGTGAAAATTTTGATATAGTATTTAATCTATAATCTTTGTACTCTAATTAAATAAATTAGTACCAAATACAATAAGATGGTTTTTTGTTTGTTTGCATTGTTTTTTTTTTTTTTTTTTTCCTGTGTTTTGTTTTTTTGTTTTGTTTTTTTTTTTTTTTTGTTTTTGTTTTTTTTTATTCAATCGATAGCTTGTAAATCAACTAGACTAAAGCTAGGTTTGCTATAAAACTAAAAATAATTTAATGATATTATTTTTAAAATAATTTAAAAATAATAAGAATAATAATAATTATTATTATTATTATATTGTTGTTGTTATAATTATTATAAGAGTTAATTTCACCAGAGGTCACTTGTCTTTGGTGACAATTTCAAATTTTGTTTCAGAGTCTGTTTGGCGGAGCTTATTAAGGAGCTTATAGCTTATTTTAAGCTACTAATAAGCTATAAACTATGTTTGGTAATGTTCCCAAAATAAGCTCGTAGCTTAAAGGTAACGTTCCAAAATAAGCTAGTAGCTTCCAAACTTTTTTTCCATATTTGTCCTCATTATTTTAAAGAAATGACATCTTTTACCCTTCCTAATTAAAATACTTTTCTCTTCTCCTTTATCCGCAACTTTCACGCAATTATTATTATTATTATTATTATTATTATTATTATTATTATTATTATTATTATTATTATTATTATTATTATTATTATTATTATTATTATTATTATTATTATTATTATTATTATTATTATTATTATTATTATTATTATTATTATTATTATTATTATTATTATTATTATTATTATTATTATGAGATGAAAGAGATTCGCAACAATATTGCTACTTCATTAGCAACACGGTGAGAAACTACTGGATCCAAGGAATTGGTTGGAACTGGAACAACATGGAAAGAGATATCTCCTCGGCCAATAAACAGTTCATGGACCTACTAAACTTGGATGGTAAGGAGATGGAGAAGGATGATATTTACTGGAGAGAAAGCTCAGGACTCTTCTCGGTTGCTTCCGCATATAATATTGCAACCGGTGCGATCAACAATTCCAACAGTCATTGGGAGAAAATCTGGAAGATTAAAGTACCTAATAAAATATGTGCATTTTTGTGGCTCTTACGGCACCAGCGGATCCTCACAAATGCCGAGCGAAAGCGGAGAAGTTTCACTTGGGATGCGAGCTGCAGTTGCTGTGGTCACAATGAAGAAACAATTGACCACCTCTTCCGATACTGCAGGGCGGCAAAGGATGTCTGGAGGGTGTTCCTACCTGGCACTGAAATTATGAGACAGGATACTTTAGATTTTGAGAGATGGATGGACGACAACATCAGTGGCAAAATTAACACTCGGGAACAAAGCAATTGGAAAGAAGTTTTCGCCATTATTCTATGGTGGATATGGCGTTGGAGGTGCAATCTGGCTTTCAACAATGAAGACTGGGATGCAATGCGCAAAGTGGATTAGATCAATACGTATGCTGATCAGACTACCAAGGTGTTCCAGAAACAAAGGGAAGTTCACTTCATGATGATAAATAATCAACATGGTAAGTACTCCGTTGTGCATACTGATGCTTCTTTTTTTAATCTTGACAGGCCTGCGGGATGTGGAGGATTAATGAGAGACGCGAATGGCAATTGGAAGAGAGGCTTTAGTTGCATTGCAAAAGCCAACACTGTGGCAGAAAGCGAAGCTTGGGCACTCTATCTCGGAATCAAATGGGCTTGGAATAATGGAGAGAAACGAGTTCGTTTCCTTTGTGACTCGCAAGAAGTGGTAAATTGGATCAACTCGGATACAGATCCTTGGGCCATGTGGTAGAATCATTAAAGAGTGTAAAAGCTGGCTAGACAAGGATTGGGAAGCCAATGTTCAACACATTACGAGAGACCATAACAATGCGGCGGATGCTCTAGCCAAGATAGCGTTGAGAAGACGATGTGATTGGATTGAGTTCACAAACCCCCCGAATGAGGTTTTGAGCTATCTCCAAGCTGACGCTGCGAAGAGCTGCCTTACCAATGAGGCAATGAGAGCTAGGAATTAGCCTAGCTGGGTCTCCCCTCCCCACCTTTTCAAAAAAAAAATTAAAATACTTTTCTCTTCTCCTTTATCCACAACTTTCACGCAATTATTATTATTATTATTATTATTATTATTATTATTATTATTATTATTATTATTATTATTATTATTATTATTATTATTATTATTATTATTATGAAATGAAAGAGATTCGCAACAATATTGCTACTTCATTATAGGATGATAGATCATGATTTTGCTAATAATTTTATTTCAAAATGTTAATTTTTTTTAACACAAAATGTTGAATTTTAATATGTAAACAAACTAATTTAATTTTTATTAAGATGTCGTTTTTTGTCCTTTTACATTTATCAGCTTATCAAAAAGCTAATTTTACCAAACACTTTCAAGCATAACAGCTAGCTTAAATAACAACTCTTCAGTTTTCAGCTCCTAGCTTATAACTTTTCAACTTTCAGCTCCTTTTAAACTTTCAGCTACCTTTTCCGCTAGGTTTGCCAACATAGCCTCAGACTATCGTTTATGCCATTTAACATCCCATAATATTATTTTTTGGACACTTTTAGTCTTTTTCATGACTTTTCCTATTTTTAGTAAGTGCATTTTTGTCTTTTCATATTTTCTTTTGTTATTTTTACGATTTCAACCGGTTTAAAACTTTAGGCAACCTCTGACTTTTAGTAACCATATTTTTCAATCGGTTGCACTAGAAGTGTCAAAAAATAATAGTCTGGATGTTAAATGGCAAAAACGATAGTCTGGGACTCAATTTAAAATTGTCACCAAAGACAAGGGACCTTTGGTGGAATATATTAACCCATATAATTATTTTGTTTTTAAAAAATACTTATTTTTAAATTTATATCTACTAAAAACAATTTAATGATAATTCAATAAATAAAACAATCTACTCATCATATTCTCGCTCAAAAAGTCAATACCCCACCACTGGGGTTCAATCCTATGACTTTTCCTTAAGGAGAGTCACAGATGACACAGCACAAGGTGCTTGGCCTACTCATATCCTCATTTCACATGTTATCTACTAATAATAAATAACTCATTTACGAAACACTAATTTTCTTTCTAATTTGTGGTAGTGGTTGCTCTGAAACTTTTTTTCTTTTTTTTTTTTTTCTGAGATAAATGTTCGGAAACATTTATTATTACCAAATTTAGTTTTTTAACCATTGATATTTGTAAATAAAATTCCTAATCTACTTAATTTAACTAATAAATCATTTAAATATTTTAAATGTGTTGTACGGTCATGATTTATAATGCGTATACATTGAAAATACAAGGATCATACACATATACAAAATAATAAGAGAAAAACTTATTATTTATTTATAAGTTAGAAACTAAAATATAGGGTTATTTGTTAAGCTTTGACTCGATGGTGCTAGAGATTTGCACTTGATTTTATAGATAATAAATGAATGAAGATAATAAAATTAGGGGACCCTCTTTGTATTATATTGCGAGAATTGGAGCTAGATTATACAAGTTACTTATGCATATAATTTTGGCAAAATAATGTTGTAAAAATTTTATATTGTTGTTCCTAAAAGGTTGAATCTCCAACCCCAAGGGACTCTCATGCCTTTACTCGACAGAGTATCTAGGAGGTCATAAATAGCTGAATACAAGGAGTATCCTCACTTTGAGCGATTGTTCTCACACTGTGACTGGTGAGACTTGATTTTAGGTCATTGTTCTCAAACTTCACCCTTATAACCAACTGAGCTGCAAGCCTGCAAATGCATGCAAGCAAAAAATTTATATTGCATGCATTTATCAGTCCTAGAACTACCCATTTATACAATGGCGATTTTACCATTATATATAGGGATTTATACAAATCCATTAATTTATTTTGTTTAAAAAAAAAAAATGTTTCTGTGTTTAATTATATGGAACACTTTTTATTTGTAAAGTTGTTATAGTACTCAAATCAATATATAATGACTACAGACTAATCCACTTGCTATATATGGAAGAGAAGTAGAGAACATTATTACATGTCAATGATTAGCTCTGCAGGCAGCGTACAATTAATATATATTTGATTTCACACTATAATACACTTGCATATTCAAATTAAATTTGACCTGCCTGGTACCTTGTCTTCAGATGGCATACAATGACTTTTCTATACGGAAGACTATGAGATTAAGTAGGTGGTGTTGATTTTTTATACAATTTTTTATATTTCAACATGTTAAGAAAGTATAGATGCACATATAGTACAATGTAATAGAGTCGGCAGGGACGGAGGCACCTTAGGGGGTAGGGGGCTTTGGCCCCCACCCCACCCTTACCCTCATCCTAAATATTTTAGTAAATATGTATGTATATATTGATGTAGTAGGGATAAAATACACTTTTAGCCCCCCTCTAATTTTTTTTTTAATAAAAAAAATATATTATGTTTATATTAAATAAACTCAAAATATATATTAAAAAGTTCAAATTCATTAAATAAAAAGAAATAAATCAAATATTTAAAGTGACCATTTTTCTTTATTATCTTATTTCTTTTATTAAGATTTTAATAATGAATGATATCAAGTATACATTTTAATTTAAAAAAAAATCTCCAAATTTAAGATATATGCTTTGGTTTTATTAGTTATATATGTTGATTAATTAATTAGTGATTTATTGTGTGTTTTAATTATTTATTTACATATTTAAAATGTACATTTACTAGTTTAAATGATTAGTTTTGAAATTGACAAAAAATAATATTGATTATTTAATTCATTTTGATTTTTGTCTTTATCTCTCAAATTTTGAAATATTCAGTTAACCAGTAAAATGAATATAAGTTAATTATGAAAAAATTTGGTGATAAAATAATTGACAAAATTTTTTATTTGATGTTAAATGACAATCTGTATTTAAATAAATGTTGTTGTTATTGTTATTATTATATTTTGTGTTATGTAAAAAAATTCTAAAGTAACAATCGACACCTGTGTCGATTGTACTCATATAATTATGTATTTTATACTTTATTACACATAGTATAATTAAAAATCATTATTAATAATAATCACAATAATGTAGGGTATATATAATAATATGGTGCAATTAATTATAATGTGGACTAACATTGTAAATTTTCTCTACTACATCAGCTCCCTCCTCGCCCCCCCCCCCCCCCCCCCCCCCCCCCCCCCCAACTCAAGTTTTCTGACTCCGTCCCTGAGAGTCAGTAACTTAAAAAAAAAAAAAAAAAAAAATTTAACCTCTCCTGTAAGCATATATATCAAAGTAGTCATCATTATATGCAATTTAACCTCTCCCGTAAGCATATATATTAAAGTAGTCATCATTATATGCATATATATATTATACGCCAAAATGAATAATGAGTTCATTTGAGTTGGGAAAATTAGAGTTGAGAAGGCTTTTTGAAGTTTGACAAAAATGAATTTTTATTCTCTTAAACTTTAATATATAAAACATTCTCTTAACTTTAAAAGTGCTCCTTTCATTCACGTTTGGATGGAAGCAAATCGATTTTAAAAGTAGTTCTTTCTTTTGAGAAATTCTATTTTTTCAAATTTATTGTGAAAATTCCCAACGAGAAGCCTGTTAACCAAACGGGCAAACCCCATTAGTGTCGGTCATTATTGTGTGGACCATACTATCAAATAATGTATATTAAGTAAGCAAATATTATATTTTTAATATTTTAAAAATGTACATTATATTCAGGAAAAATACATTATTTGAGTACTGAAAGTATATTATTTTGTATAATGTATATTCAATGCACGAATAATGTATTTCTAGTATATTAAAAATTTACTTTTTATTACGATCCACACAGCACTATATGGACCGTACTATGATCCACACAATAATTTGCCCATTAAACACCTCCCCCATTAAGAATAAATAAAACTCCTATATAAGTAACAATAATTATCTATTATATTGTAGTTAAATGTCCTCAACCAATTCCTGTTTTCTCCGGAAACTATAAAAGCTCAGCAAGATTTAACGTGTTTGCATATATTATTAATTATTATTAATTAAAATAACTAACCTGTGATTACGAAGGTAATGATGGAAGCAAACAAGCATTTTTGTGGACACTAACAAACAACTGACAGCTATTAGGAAGACAAGAACTAGAATCCAAAAATTTCTAGTAGGATTCTACGTACGACATTTTATTTATTAGTAAAATATTATATTGGGTAATGAACCAAACACTGCCTTATTAAAGAAAAATGTTTTTTGATAACAGATAAATAAATTATTTATTATTAATAGCGAATCTATAAAATCACTTATAAGTATATTTTATTATTTATATTATTAGGATCAACTATAATATGATGTTTTATTATTATATAAGAAAAAAGTTTACAAAATTATGTGCCGTAATGCAATGTATTTTGTAAAATTATACTTTATACTTTATCATAAATACATATAGAAGCAGAGTACGTACAACTTTGCAAAATATAAAATACATTTCAAAAAACATAGAGTACACCTAAAATATTACTCCGTATAATTTACATTGAATAATTTATATATCTATTATATAAATATAAGTTAATAATAAAAGAAGGGGAAAAATATTCAAATAGCCCTATTTACCATCCTGGATTATGCAATTAGCACTTTAATTTAGACTTAAAAAGGGTCCAAACGGGTATTTTTTTTTTTGAATGCTACTAGCTCTATTACAATGTAGTATTTGTTCATATACTTTCTCACACAAAGAGCTTAATAACGCCTCCACTGAGGCTTGAACTCACAATCTTCCTAATGGAAGTCCAACCCGGGTACCATTGGACCACGTAGTCCTGGTCCAAACGGGTACCTTAATTAACTTCAAAAGCTAATGCAATTTTCATCAAATTTGTTTATGTAAAAAAAAAATTATAATAAATCACCATTTACCTGGAAACTTGTAAAAATGCTAAATAAAGAAAATTTTAAAGTTCATATATCTAATTGAATTTTTTTAGTTTAAAATGTTACATAATTCATAGTAGTAAATGGTGCTATTTATTATTATTATTATTATTATTATTATTATTATTATTATTATTATTATTATTATTATTAAGAAAAAGCCATTTTCACCAATTAGTGACAAAATAGTCTTTTAGAAAAAAAAAAATTAAATGATGTCCACACGGCTTAACTCACTAGTTCAGTAAACAATATTTGAAAGAATAAATTATGGTTCAAACCTTGGCAGCGACAGTGTGTATTATACTCAAAGTGAACTCATTCGTTGATTTGACCATGTATGCTGATACGTTGAGTTTACATCCTTCTAAGTGTTACTCATTTTTGTGATTTGCTTCTTATCTGCTATTTACCTTTAGTCGTTTGAATTACGGAGTATTGAAGTGTTAAAATAAATGAAATCTGCTAAAAATGGCATTAGGATTTACTAAACAATTAAACATGCCCTTAAACAAATATTTCCTCTTTCTAGGAAACTTCATGTGGACGTGTTTATGACGAAGTATATTGGTGGGTACAAGCTGACAAATTTAACTGTCAATTAAGTCAACATCATTTTCAAGAACTAAACAATTTGCAAAATCGTACCAAATTTTTTTAAAACAAAATTCGAAAATGATAGTCACGAAAAAAATATTAATATATTGAGGATTATTATTTAAAAAATAACCTTTCAAAAAAAATAAAAATAACCTAATTATCTTGATAAATTAAGGGTAAAATGGCTAAATATCTCACCAACTTTTAATGAAATTGGAAATTACTATATTTATTATTATTGAAGTTTTGCATACATCCGGTATTTTCACAATTCTGAAATTTACCTTAATTTAGCTTGATAACTTGACTTCAACTCAGAGAAAACCGACCCAAAATTCTTTGACATAGCGCACCCTTTACAAAGTCATACTTCTAACCTTACAGTTGCTTATCAATTGTCCAATTATTGAGTTATTTGGTACTATTTTTAATATTCAACATTAGGGTAAATGAGCCGAGCGGCTCGCGAGTCGCTCGGTCAAAGCTCGGCTCGAGCGGAGTTCTGTCAAAATCGAGCTCGAGCCGAACTCGAGCGGCTCATTTATTAAACGAGCTGAGCTCGAGCTCAAATATTCTAAGCTCGTGACTTGTCGAGCTGCTCGCGAGTCCTAATTAAATAAATAGATAAATATTATATATATATGTAAGGACCAATGACTACTATTGACTTTTAAAGTGTCGTCCCAAAGGTTTAATCCCCAATCCCAAGGGCCCCCACACTCCGGCCCGACAAAGCATGGGAGGATGTAAATTATGGTAACTCAACTGAACCACATAGGCTAGACCTTTGCTCACTGCGCACAAGGAGCCCCCCTCACTTTGAGAGGTTGCTCCCACATTGCCGCTGGTGAGACTCAATACTTGGTCATTCGTCTCAAACTTCACCTCTATGATCAGTTGAGCTGCCCATGCGGGCAGTGGAGTTGTAAACTTGTTTTGAGTGTTTGGAATCTTTAAACATTGAAGTTTGGACTTTTGAATTTTTTTTATTATTCATTATGGATTAAACAATGTTTATTATTAATTAAAATATAAATTCAAATATGTCAAAATCGAGCTCGAACAATCGAGCTGCTCGAGCGGCTTGAAAAATTGCCGAGCCGAGCTCGAGTATCATTTTTCAAGCTCGATCGTGCTCGAACTCGAGCCGAACCATGCTTATCGAGCTGAGCTTGAACCAACCCATGGTCAAGCTCGGCTCGGCTCGTTTACACCCCTATTCAACATTGCTATAAACTATCATAGAAGTGACTTCTATGTCTTTAATAATATTCCTATTTATTATTTGATCATTTCGTTAATGATATTAACAATATAATCTTCCTAAATTAACTCTTTTTTTAAATCAAATTTTCAGTGTAATCATCTTAACACAACAGTTAACTTTGGGGTGTGATTGAATGGATAGAACTCATTCATTCTTAACCAAATGTTAAGAGTTCAATCATTGGCTTTAGATATGGAAGAACCTTAACTCTCTAGGCGGCCAGTTGTCTCACCCATATGGGTGCTTACAATTCAAGGGGATTAATCATTTTGTTTGATAGTGAAAATCCTGAGTTACAGAAAAAAATCTCTTAACACACCACTTATAAGTTGTAAGTGTATATAAAATCCGATCCCGACGTCACTACTCGAGGGTGTGTATTCCCCTTTTTTTTTTTTTTTTTTTTTTTTTTTTTTTTTTTTTTTCTTATTTTATGTAATAGCCTACAAATTATATAGGAGATGTAAATTGCATTAGGAAGACCTTAGCTTATGTGATAGATCGACTTGACCAAGACTCCAAGAGAATGTACGTTGACAAATATTAAACTCGTGATCTTCAAGTACAAAAATTCTGCTCCATCAACTCGGTGATGAATTAAGATGATAACATTGAATTATTAGGTAAAATTAAAATATGAAACTTTGTAATTTATGCCCTTTACAAGTATGTCAATTATCAATGCCACCCATGAATTATTAATGGTGTAAATGTTGCCCCTCAATTTTCAAAATGTGACATATATTGCCCCTTCCCGAATAGGAAGAAGGAGAAACATTGTTGTCGACGGAAGGAGAACAAACGAAGAAAGAAAAATGGAGGAAAAAAATGTGGCCTTCAATCATAAAAAACAGTGGGTAATCACATTTACACAACTAATAATTCAAGGGAAGAGTAATATATATCACATTTTGAAAATTAAGGGCAACATTTACACCACTAATAATCCAGAGATGACATTGATAATTGACATATTTGTGAAGAGCATAAATTACAATTTTCTCATTAAAATATCTATATTTTGATGGATGATTAACACTGATAATAAAATGATCCAACTATTAGCTAAAAAAAATATGGTAAAATTAATAAAAGGTGACGAAAAAATTAATTGGTGTAATAATAAAATTAATAAAAGGTGACGAAAAAATTATTTGTTGTGATAATCGTTGTCATTATTTAATTTCAAAAGGACTTTGAGTAATATAATGTATAATAATCAATTAATACGGACCAGTAGTTCCCTATTTATCTTTAAATTCGTCTCATGAGAGACGACATTGGCAATGAGGATGAAACTTGAAAGTGACAGTGTACAATTATTTGGTGCTAACAACGTAAGCCTTTCTCTTGTCAACTTTACGTGCAGACCAAAAATCAACTGTCCCTTTCAAAATTCTAACATAGATTTATCAGATTTTCAGGGTTTCTTGTTGGACGATGTAACTAACTGATTTTGAGTTCTTTACTACACCTTTTTTTTTTTTTTTTTTTTTTTTTTTTTTTTTTTTTCTGGAAAAAAGTTCTCTAGGTACACTTCTTTTCGTATATTTCTTACCCCTTCATGTTTTAAAATTTAATTGATCATTAATATGAAAGATTGACCTTTTTTTTTTTCTTTCTTTCTTTCTTCTTCTAGCTAATCGATGCAAATCATACGAGGATGATGGGAAAGTGGACATGGGCCAGCACAAATAGATTATCATAGTCTAAGGTAATGGTTTTAGTTCAGTTTTAATGCATCACAACTTAGTTCAAGATCAATACACAGGTATTGATAAGCACCCGAGAACTTGACGTGACAAGAATAACATGGCTAAAAACATTACAAGAATAGTAGGAGACGTCTCACTAATGATCATAATATATGGCCGTGTTTGGATAGCGGGGGCGTGCACTTTAATTGTGAACAAGTTACCTGTTGATGGCAATCCAATCAGTAAAGATAAACTATTTGTATACCAGTCAATAGTATTAGAAGAAAGGGTCTGCTTCGGTTGAGGGACCTGGAGGGATTGCTTACTCCGAGGATCACGTCGGAGTTGCATTCGACGGACCCGAGTTCGGATTCGGATTATGAGCCGAGCTTTGATTTTTCATATTTTGATGAGGATTTTGGTGATGAGGCATATGTTGATGAGCGATTTGAGCGCGCTAGGCGGTGCAATGGAGGTTGGCCAAGTGGTGGGCTCGAGAGGAGGCATCGTCACTACGAGCTTAGATATAGGTTTTGATTGTTGTTCAGTGGGTTTGTTCCCGTTTATTTTGAAACTTTAGTTTGGTCTAGTCTCTTCTTTTGTATCTCTTGCTTTGGTGGATTAAAAAAAAAATGTTTTTTTGACCATATTATTGTAACGTTATTGTAGAAAAATTTTGACAAATTTGTAATACATTTAATTTGGTCATAGGTGACACAAATTAACTATTGAATATAGTTTTGGTTAACTTTGTTTGCTGATATATTGGTCATTGTTCCTGGGGAGCAGTTAGTAACATCATCGACTGACGTGCTTATACAGTGATTCACGCAATTTGGTTTAATTTGTGTAACTTGTATATATTTTACTCCAATTTGTCTCTATCTTTTACTATGTGAACACTTGAATTCTTTTAGTATGTGAACAGTGAATTTTTCATTGAGAGAGGTGTTTGAATAGGTGGAACATGATTCTTATCTTCTTAATCATACTAGAAGGTAACGAGTTTAATTTTTGCTAGCACCCCCTAGTTCTCAACCACCAAGTTTTGACAAAATCGAGAAGTAAGCACGACCATGTAGAAACAAAAATTGCAGTGTCAGTTATAACTTAGGAATGAGAAGTGAGCACGATCAACAAGTAGAGACGAAAATTGTAATGTTAGTTATAACTTAAGTTCGAGTAGTGAGCATGACCAATAAGTAAGGACAGAAATTGCAACGTTAGACGAATCAAACAATTATCCTATAACTTAGGGATGAAAAATACAAATTTTCCTTTTTGTAATTTATGATTAACCATATATGTATTGTATTACAAATTAACGTTTGCATCTATCCCCAAAATTTTTTAATTTGTAAGCTTACTATTAAGTGTGTGTTTGGAAACTCGGAAAATGATTTCTGGAAATCATTTTCCGGGTTTCCAATGTTTGGAAAGAAGGAAAATTTGAAGTCAACTGAAAATGAGGTACTGGTCAATGGAAAATGAGCCTATTTTTAAGGAAAACATCTTCCCCTTTAAAAAAGGGGAAGTCATTTTCCGAATGTTGACTTCTTCATTTCTTCACTTCAAGAGCAGTTGACTCTCTTCATCTTCATTGGCTTCTTCATCCTTTGGGTTTTGGGCTCACTGGTTTCCGGCAGGTTTTGGTTTCCGCCAAAAACCAATGAATATTATGTTTGTTTGTTTTTTTTTTTTTTAATTTTTTTAAAATAAATAATATTATTTGATTTTAAAAATAAATATTATTATTTATAATATTATTGTAAATTTTATATATTTTAAACAAAATAATTAATTATATAAAATGTTTAATTATACAATTCTACATCATTTCCAGAAAATGAGCCAAATAGCAAAAGACAGTTTTCCATTGTGCAGTCAAACACAGGAAAGGAAAATGACTTCTGGAAAATGACTCATTTTCCAAAAGTCATTTTCCAGAAGTCATTTTCCTGCTTTCCAAACGGACACAATAATAATACTAAATTATTAAAAATCAATTCATCAAATAAAAAATCTACACATTACTTTTTAAATAAAGTTACGAGTTAAAAAAATTATGATATTCAAGTGGCAACAAAATTAAATTTTTTCTCTCTAGGGTTCCTAGGGTTTTCTCTCAATCTCTAGGGTTTCTAGGGTTTTTCGAAGCAGTTCGGCTCATCTCTCCCGGCGATCGCCGGCGTTTCAACATCGATGGATGAACGGAATGACGAGCAGGTAGCAGCAGGGCAGTCGGCTGGGATGGTGGAGAGACTCACGGCAAGATGGGCTGATATGGCGTTAGAGGAGGACGGGGACGAGTTCGTCCCGGAGGAGGACGGGGACGAGTTCGTCCCGGAGGGTGACAGGGTGGGCGAGGTTGCGGTAGATGGTGAGGCATCATGGGCGGTTGTAGGCCGTTTCTTGACGGCGAAAGTTGTCAAGCTTGAGTATATGAGGAATGCAATGGCTTCTGTGTGGCAACCGGTAAGAGGGGTTCAGATAACGGAAGTCCAACCGGGGCTATTTTTGTTTGTGTTCTTTCACGACACGGATGTTGCGTATGTCTTGGAAGGGGGACCATGGGCTTTTGAAAACAATACGCTGGTTTGCCGTGAGGTTCAGGGGGGGATGAATCCGTGTGATGTCCCTCTGGATACGGTAGACATGTGGGTTCAGCTGCATGGATTACCAATAGGCTACACATCGCAAAGTGTTCTTGAGCAGGCCGGTAAGTTCATTGGTACTTTCGTGAAACATGATGATAGGTTTGTTGGGGCTCCCTGGTTAACTTTTTATCGCATTCGGGTCTCAATTGAGGAGGGGTATGAAGCTGGTTAAGAGGGATAGGACTACGTGTTGAGTGTCCTTTAAGTATGAACGACTTCACAAGTTCTGTTTCTTCTGTGGGCTAATGGGGCATGTTCACACCTTTTGTTTGAAAGCAAGGGAAAGTCGGGTTCCAGAGAGTGAGTTTCGGTATGGAGTGGAGTTGAGGGCGGGGGTGGAAGGGGTGCTGCGAGAGGGGTGGGTGGGAGCTGGCTTATTCCAGTAGGGGGGAGACCGTTACCGATGCCGGAGAATCGGCCGGCGGGTGGGGAGGGTGTTCGGGGAACGTTGGCGGAAGGTGAGGGTGAGGAGGGGGTTTTGGGAATTGGGGTGTCGGATGGAGGGGAGGTGGTGGCAACCGGGAAACGCCGCAGGGAGGGACAGCAGGGGTGTGAGGGGAGGGAGGGTGAGGATGTGACAATGAACGATGTTTCAAAAAACTTGTGTATGGCGGGAGCTGTATCTCAACCCCGCCTGTCCTCATGAGTACGCTGAGCTGGAACTGTCGTGGCTTGGGCAATCCACGAACAGTTCGACAGATAGTGGACATTGTGTCCCGGAAGAAGCCTGAATTTGTATTTTTGATGGAGACTATGGTGGCACGGATACATGCAGAAAGGCTCCGTGTCACGATCGGTTATGAGGGTTTGTTCTATGTAGACAATGACGGGAGGAGTGGTGGTATGGCATTACTTTGGAGGAAGAATAACTCAGCATCGTTGTTGGGATATTCTAAACATTTTGTGGATGTGGAGGTAAGGGCTCAGAACGGGAATCAGTGGCGGATGACTTGTTTCTATGGGCAATCGGATCGTAGTAGGAGGTCGGAGTCCTGGAGTTTGCTGGAGAGATTGAAACCTAAATCTGTTTTACCCTGGGTACTCATAGGGGATTTTAATAATCTTCTGTTTCAGTATGAGAAGAGAGGAGGGAATCCTTACCCAAATCACCTCTTACGAGGCTTTGGGGAGGCCCTAGATGTTTGTGGCTTGATACAGTTGCCTATGCGAGGCCATCAGTTTACCTGGGAGAAGAGTAGAGGGACGGAAAATTGGATTGAGGAGAGACTGGACAAAGTTTTAGCCACAGCGGACTGGTGTGGACTAAATAATCATGTGGATGTGGAAAACATCATAGCCCAACCTTCAGATCACTCAGCACTTTTCCTTAGTATAGATGCGCCACGCATCCGAGGGGGAGATTTGCAAGACGATTTAGATTTGAGATGGCATGGCTCCAGGATGAGGGGTGTAGAAAGGTGGTGACTACGGCGTGGCAGGGAGGGAGGGTTGAGGGGTTGCTGAATTGTCAGCAGCGGTGTGGGGAGAGGTTGATGAGGTGGGGTGGAGAGAAATTTCATAAGTTTGGAGAGCGTATTGGGCAGTTGAAAAAGAGACTGGAACTGCTCAGGAACAGGAGAGACCCGGCCGCATTGGCTGAGTTTCACCAAGTTGATGTTCTCTTAACCCAGCTGGAGGCGCAGGAGGATGTGTTCTGGAGACAGCGGGCCAAGCAGCACTGGCTTCGCAATGCAGATGCGAATACGAGATTCTATCACAGGTATGCTTCTGCTCGTAAGAAAAAGAATACTGTGAATAGAATTATGAATAATGATGGTGTGTGGGTCGAGGGGAATGATATGTGCTCTGTTATCCTTGAATATTTTCAACAAATTTTTACAACTGAGAGTACTGTTTTTGATGATGCTATGATTGATAATTTTGTCCCGCGAGTAACGCATGCTCAGAATGAATCTTTGTTGCGCCCGTTTGTACCGGAGGATGTGAAAGAGGCAGTATATTCTATGTATCCTAACAAAGCGCCTGGCCCGGATGGAATGAATCCAGGCTTCTACCAGCACTTCTGGGATGTAGTAGGGGGGGATGTGTCTGATTTTATAATATCATGTTTGAATACAGGCAATCTTCCGGATGGTATAAATGATACAAACATTGTTTTAATCCCAAAGAAGGCGATGCCGGAGAGGGTGGCTGATATGAGACCGATTGCTCTCAGCAATGTTATTTATAGGGTAATGGCGAAGATGATAACGAATAGGATGAAGCCACTTATGGGAAACTTGATCTCGGAGTCTCAAAGTGCGTTTATCCCGGGCCGCCTGATCACAGATAATATTCTTGTTGCAGCAGAAGTGGGGCATTATTTAAATAGAAAGCAATGTGGGCAGGTAGGATGGAGTGCTTTAAAGCTTGACATGTCAAAGGCTTATGACAGGATGGAGTGGTCTTTTCTGCAGAGAATGATGTGCGCTATGGGTTTCGATCAGCGGTGGGTTACCCTTATAATGCATTGTGTCACAACTGTGAGGTATACGATTATGGTAAACGGGGTGGCAGGTGGACAGATAGTGCCTACACGAGGTCTCAGGCAGGGGGACCCTCTATCTCCCTACTTGTTTATTATTTGTGCAGAGGGGCTCTCCATGTTGTTACAGAAAGCGCAGTTGGATGGGGTAATCCATGGCTGTAGGGTGGCAAGAGGGGCACCGGCGGTGTCCCATCTATTTTTTGCAGATGATAGCCTGCTTTTTTTCAAAGCTAATATAGAGGAAGCTGGTGTAATTAAACAATGCTTACACCAATATGAGAGGTTGTCTGGCCAAAAAGTGAATTATGACAAGTCAAATATTTGTTTCAGTAGAAACACCCAGGAGGAAATAAGGGGGGAGGTGGCGGCAGTTTTAGGGGTAAGTCAGGCGGCTAATTTTGGGAAATATTTGGGACTCCCATCTTTTGTAGGCAGAAATAAGAGAGCTGTTTTTTCCTATGTGGAGGATAAAATCAGGCAGAGAATTGGTTCCTGGAGTAAAAAGTTGCTTTCTCAGGCTGGTAAGGAAGTACTTTTGAAAAGTGTGGCACAATCTATGCCAACCTTTTCAATGAGTGTTTTTTTGTTACCTGAGACAGTTTGCACATCAATAGAGAGGACCATGAACAGGTATTGGTGGGATCTGGAACGGAGAGGAAAATACATTGGAAGGCTTGGGATAAATTATGCATCCCTAAGAAGTATGGGGGTCTGGGATTTAAAGACCTACGAGCTTTTAATTTGGCAATGCTGGGAAAACAGGCATGGCGTTTTCTCACAAACCCCGGCACTTTGGTGGCAAGAATATATAAAGCCAGGTATTACCCGAATACATCTTTTGTTGATGCTACCATAGGAAATTGCCCAAGTTTTTGCTGGAGAAGTATAATGGCTGCCGCACGGAATGGTTTGTTCAGGGGTAAGGAGGCGTGTAGGGAATGGACAAAAAACATTAATATGGGGGCATCCCTGGCTACCAGATAATCCCAGTCCGTTGGTCCAAACAATAATGCCCCAGGAGTTGCGACATGCCCATGTAGCAGGATTGATTGACCAACAAACTAATACCTGGGATCCACATATTCTGACTGATTTATTTATTCCTGAGGATGTCACACGTATTTTAATGATCCCTGTTAGCCCCGAATATGAAGACACTTGGTATTGGAAGGGGGAGATGAATGGAATATATTCAGTTAAAAATGCCTATAGGCAGATTAAGGGGGATTATGTGCATAACCCAGGTGATTTTGATAAATGAGTTACTATGTGAAAATTGAAAGTGCCACCCAAATGGAAGACCTTTTTGTGGAGAGCATTCTGTGGTATCCTCCCTACTATGGACAATCTAATAATGCGACGAGTTGAGATTGATCTGCTGTGCCCAATGTGCCAAGGGGCGCATGAGAACATCATGCATGCGTTACTCGAGTGTGACTATTCAAAATTAGTGTGGGGTATGTCGGGGTTGCCGGTTACCAATATACATACTAATTCATTGCCGACATAGCTTATGGGAATTTTTAATGTCTTGACAGAGGAACAGTGTGGCCTAGCAGTGGCAATATTATATGCTATTTGGAGTACCCGCAACAAGGCGGTATGGGACCACGCCCTCCCAAGACCGACGGACACATGGAATCGAGCGGTGGCGGCCATGCAGGCATAACGACGTGCGCAGCCCGGCCTGCCGGCACGGACACTTACTGCCGTGATCAGTCAAGCCACTGGCGGTGTACCTCGCTGCTACGTAGACGCAGGTTTCAGGCCGGATACGGGAGAAGCATCCTATGGTGTAGTTCTCGTCTCACAACATGGATCGTTTGTTGCGGCAATGAATGGACGGCTCGCGGGTGCTTTCTCGGCTACTATGGCCGAAGCACTGGCCTGTAAGGAGGCGCTCTCTTGGCTTAAGAATCGGGACATCATGGAGGTGGACATGTTGACGGACTGCATGGAATTACAAAATATGATACGTACAAGCCACACGGCTAACTACTCCTACCTTGGGATCATTGTAGAGCAGTGTAGGACTGCTATATCGTTATTTACGAGATGCTCGCTGAGTTATATTTCGAGAAGTTTAAATTTACATGCTCATACTTTAGCTTCTTTAGCTTTCGATCAGGACCAAGCTATGTATTGGGACTCTGTCCCTCCTGACTCTATCATTCAGTTTATTCATTAATATACCGCATGGAAAATTTTCAAAAAAAAAAAATAAAAAATCTACACCAAGTGTACACGTTGAATTTGATTTCAAAGTCGAATTACATTTTTATCGTCAATTTTTTTTTTTTTTTTTTTTTTACGTATTTCGTATTTGTGAATGCTTGCCCATTTATCAGAACTTGATGTTTATACCTTTGGAAGGTTCAAGTAAATTATTGGCCATGTTTGATAACATTTTTTTTTTGAAAGTCAACCTGGCGATTGTATTTATAGAAGAGTTAAAATAGAGTCTGGTGGGACATTGTCCTAGTACATATCAGTAGCGAAACTAAGTGCTGTAGTAGCTAAAGTATGAGCTAATAAATTCTGTAATCTAGGAATGTAAATTACTGAGCAGTAAGTAAAAGTAGAAATATAGGTTCTGCAACTATCGATAGCATAACCTAGATATGAGCGTGATGTGGCTGGTGGTCCAGATAAATAGCACTGCAGTAGTTGACAATCCGTATGAATCTGTATAGATAATTCATTCCTCCTTTTAAGCCATGATAATACTTCCTTGCATGCAAAAGCCTCGGCCATGAGCGGGGAGTGGCAACCTACTAATGGGGTGCTGAAAGCAGATATGTAGCGGCCATTGGCGTCGAGGAGTACCGCACCAGCAGCTGCTGCATTGGTTCCTCGGTGATAGCTTGCGTCCATATAGCATTTGACGGGCTTCATCACCTCCCATGCGTGACTTCCGGCAAGCTGGCGTGCGGCGGAGGCAGTGCGGTTTCGGCAGCGTCGGCGTTCGGTGCAGCTGGCGTCGGTGGAGGCTGCTCGGCAGTAGGATGGTGGGCAGCAGCTCGGGGCTGTGATGGGGCACGATGATGGAGATCCTTCCATGCTTTCATTGTAGCTGCTGCAATTGTTAATAATTTCGTTGGCCTTGGTAGACAGACATCCCATACCGCTCCGTTTCGGACCCTCCATAGATGATATAAAATTGCAGCTGCATAAACAATTCCATCAAAGTCTAGAACATTCAAGATTGCACTAAACCATTCATGAAAAATATTTGTGACAATATTGGGGATTGGAAGGTTGGATTTAGCCCAAATGGAGTGTGCATAGTCACACAAAACTAATGCATGCATGGTATCTTCATTCACTCTCCCACACATGGCACACATTGGGTTAACATCCACTCTCTTTATAAGTAAGTTGTTGGTAGTAGGAAGGATATCACAAATTGCTCTCCATAGGAATGTCTTCTATTTTGGTGGAATTTTTAATTTCCATAGGGCTAGCCATTCATTAAAAATCCCATTAGAATTATTCTCGTAATTACCAACTATACACCTGTAACCACTCTTGACTGAATAACATCCATTAGGATCACCATACCAATACCATATATCATCATACTCAGGGGCAACTGGTATACTCTGAATTCTGGGTATATCACTCGGTTGGAAAATATCAGCTAGTATATGCGAATCCCAGGTGCCCGTATCTTGATCAATTAATCCTTCCACTCTGGCCCCAGACAGGTACTGTGGCATTTCTGTGTGAATCATAGGATCCAGTTCATCCTGCAGCCAGGGATGCTCGCATATTAAGGTAGAATTCCCATTCCCAATTCGCCTTCTTATACCGCCACATACTAGGTCCTTAGCCGCCATGATACTGCGCCAACAAAAGCTTGGATTATTTCCTATAGTTGCCTCTAGGAAAGTATCCTTTGGATAATATCTAGCTTTATAAACCTTGGCTACCAATGAGTCAGTGTTAGTGAGCAGCTTCCATGCCTGTTTTCCTAACATTGCCAAATTAAATGCCCTTAAATCTTTAAACCCCAGTCCACCATGTTTCTTTGGGACACACAATTTATCCCAGGCGTTCCAGTGAATGCCACGATCCGTACCCGACGCCCACCAGTACCGATTCATAACACGTTCAATAGCTGTACAAACAGATATGGGTAAAAGAAAAACACTCATTGAAAATGTTGGCATTGCCTGAGCCACACTTTTCAACAAAATTTCCTTACCAGCCTGTGATAACAACCTCTTGTTCCAAGATCCAATCCTCTGTTTGATTTTATCTTCTATGTATGCAAATGCAGCCTTCTTGTTCCTACCCACAAATGAAGGTAACCCTAGGTATTTCCCAAAGTTGGGGGCTTGGGCAACACCTAGTATTTGTGCCACCATATCCTTATTAGTGTGTCCTGTATTCCTGCTGTAGCATATATTGGACTTATGATAATTTACTTTCTGACCAGATAAATTCTCATATAACTGTAAACAATTTTTTATGTCAGATGCTTCCTGTCTATTTGCTCTGAAAAATAGTAGGCTATCATCTGCAAAAAATAAATGAGAGATCGGCGGTGCTCCCCTAGCAACCCTGCAGCCATGTATTAAACCTCTATTCTGCGCCTGCTGCAATAGCACTGAAAGCCCATCCGCACAGATAATAAACAAATATGGAGATAATGGGTCCCCCTGGCGGAGGCCACGCATGGGCGTAATGGAGGAACTGCGAGAGCCATTTATCATAAAGTTATACGACACAGTAGTCACACACAACATAAGCAACTCAATCCATCTATTATCGAAGCCCAGAGCTAATAACGTCCCACGGAGGAAGGGCCATTCCATGCGGTCATAAGCTTTGGCCATATCAAGTTTGAGTGCACTCCAACCTACAGCCCCGCACTGTTTCCTATTCAAGTAGTGGCCCACTTCCGCAGCTACAAGAATATTATCAGCAATCAGCCTGTCTGGAATAAATGCACTCTGAGAGCCAGATATTATATTCTCCATTAATGGTTTCATTCTCTGCGTAATCATCTTAGCCATTATCCTGTAGATCACATTGCTTAACGCTATCGGGCGAAAATCCGCTACCACCTCAGGGGTTTTCTTTTTCGGGATGAGTACCACATCCGTATTATTCAGGCCAGAGGGGAAGACTGGATTATTAAGGCAATTCACTATAACATAGTTAGCTTATCAGTTAATTTTGATTTATTTGATCATTAATTAGCTTTTGTAACATATTATTGCTCCAAAATATTAAAATTCAAAAAATTGCTCAAAGTAACTTTTTCGATAAGTTTTTTGAGAAAGTAATTTTATATGTAATCAGCTATCAGTTAACAACTATTCACAAACATATTTCTACAATAAGCTAATGCTATCAACTAATCAAACTCACTAACCCAATCAGCTAACAGCTAACAGCTATTTACCAAACACTCCCATTATGTATGTCCACATTTACACATGTAAGATTTTCATATATCTCAAATACCAAAGAAAAAAAAAAGAACTGCAACCAAAATACATTCAATTTTGATCATGGGCATACTAAGTAGTAAAATTCGAGCAACGGAATTATGAAGATTTTTTATTATTATTATTTTTTTTATTAGAGAGCGTAATTGAATGTTTTCAAATAATTCAAAAAGTTTATTTGATCATTTTTTTCAAGATACAAGGTAAACTAATAATCACAGATATACCAAGACTATGTGGTCTAATGGTACCTGGGTTGGACTAATGCAGAACAAGGGGAACAAGAAGAACACACATAATATAACTCAAACTCAAAGACTTTCAATTATATTCAAACTTACACTTCTCAATACAAAAGTCTGTTTAAATAGACAATTAAGAAAAACAGAAGAGTTGCAAATATTAAAAACATGCATGGGAACTATATAAACATAATGAGAATTGGAAATACTAATAATATTTAATGCTAATTCAAATTTTTCATAAAAAGTAGCCACCAAACTCCATGTCCCTTGAAATTCATGAATGTGTCCATTGTTTTATTATTTTCTCAATTCTTGTTCCGCATCATAGACTTCCATTTGGAAGGTTGTGACTTGTGAGTTCAAACCTCAGTGGAGGCGTTATTGATTCTTTGTGTTTCAGTAGATTGAGAAAGTATATGAACTGATACTACATTGTAATAGAGCCAAATAATCATAGATATGACAAAGTCATTGAAAAAAATGTACTAAAAGTAGCCGATAGAATAGTTTGAGGTCTCTATATATACAATAAATCATATATTTGATAAATAAAGGGTAATATATATAATAATATGAAAAAATATTATTGTTTTTATTATAATGAAAAAATAACATTTTAAATCTCATGTAAATTTGCCAATAACCGTGTAGTCTAGTGACAGGGAGTGATTCTCCTAAACGGGACATCACGCATTCGATCCTTAGTAAGTGTGCGAAAGTAGTTATGAATAGATATTACATTGTGTCAGAATCAGCAATAGTCAAAAAAAAAAAAAAAAAAAAAAAACTCATGTAAATTCATGAATCATCACAAAATAGCCGCCGACCACGTAAGTTATTTGTCATTGCGGTTGAATAATGTTGTGTATTTGGCGAATCAAAAATAAAAGAATTGACTTATCTTTGAATATTATTAGTCTGTTAGGTCAATCAAGGTTAGGGGCGTAAATAAATCAAATAAAAAAATTTCAATTTGAATTCGAACACTTTTTTCGAATACAAATTAGAGTGTATTCGATTCGAATAGTGTTCGAATCTTTTATCATATTTAAATATAAAATTTTATTATATTTTATCTTAATTTATTAGAGAATTTTGTAAAAAAATAAGTTAGGCATTTTGAATTTGAATATTCGAGTCGAATCGAATATATTTGAATAAACTGATCCCATCGAATACGAATCAAATTTGATATTCGAATATTAAATGAATACGAATACGAATATTCGAATATATAATTGGATTCGAATTGAATAGTGGGATATTTGACTCGATTCGATTCATTTACACCCCTAAATCAAGGTTACCTGTCTTAAGGAGATTAATTAAACTGACGACATCATTTGCCTTCCATATGAAAAAAATTACATTTTTAGTGAATGAATTATGTACCACTATTCATTTTTTTAAAAAATAATATTTCTTATCTTGTTTGTCCGATCATGTAAAATTATTACATTTTGTTTCAAAAGTATTATATTTTCTCATATAAGTAATATAATAAACATTTTTTTTCTAATTTAGTATTTCATTTGTTAGTATAAGTATTACATTTCATCTTGACCTAACCCGTGTTACGAACAAGAATCCATGAGACGATCTCACACAAATTTTTTGCCTTAAACCTTCACACATATATTTTAATAGACTGTTTTTCCAATATAACATTTTTTTCTTTATCAAAAGTTATATGATGTTTTTCTCTTAAATAATACAATGAAAGTTCTACATAGTTACAATAACACCGCATTTATAATATATACTAGTTCTTTTACGCGTTTTGCGAGAATGGAATAATGTCCAATAATTATTTTTAAATAAGTATTTTAAAGTATATTAATGTAATATTATATCAGAGATGTTCATGCATAAGTAAACAAATTAAATGTTGAATTTTTTTTATTTAAATTAGTAATTTAAAGTATATAAATGCAAGATAATATATGAGAGATTGATTATATTGTCAGTAAAATAAATATTTACAACTTTGTAATAACGCTGGTCTAAATACTTAGTCTAAAACGATAGTCTAAATAAATACTACTTTTGGTTTAAATTTCTCTAATTCTTCTTAATTCTCATTTGGGTAGCATTGTCATTGGCTTCATCTTCAGTACATGTCTTTTTTATTTTTTTATTGGTAGTGTGTCATGTGCAATTGGGTAACTGGTGGTATAGCATAGATGGATTCGTCGTGCAATGAGATTATGGTGTAGGAAGCTTAGAGACTGTTACTAACTAGAAATTTCTGAAAAATAGAAAACAGAAAACATGTTTAGTAACACAGTTTTCCATTTTGAAAACTGAAAATAATTTCTAAAAATTTCTGAAAAACTGGAACACAGTTAAAAACCGTTTTAGAAATGGAAAACAGAATCATCTATCATCTATTTAGTTATATGTCACTATAACCACATTACTATGATTACATTCATTATCATCTTATTTTACTTAATAAAGTAGATAAATAAATTGGCATACATATTAAAAAATAAATTAATTAATATCATGCGAAAGTATTGAACAAAATATTAATATTTATTATATTTGTATAAAATACTTGGTAAATAAATATATAACATATTTTATATTATAACTTTGATATTTAATTACAAGATAATGTAAAAAGAAGACAATGGACAATATTGTAATATAATAAATTAATAAATTTGAAGGTAATGAATCTTTGAATTATAGAAAATAAAGATAATATAAATAATGAAATTATATCTCTTTTAAAAATTTTTATTTATAATGAATAATTTTTTAAATAAAGGCATTATAGACATCTAATTCTAAATTAATTAAATGCATATGTATTATTTTTTGTTGTAGCTGTTGAGCATATAGCCATTAATGTACAATCCAACTATCAGCTTAGGCTTTTAGTTGAGATGGAGCACATGCTTCAATTTGGTATGGGGGCGTGTTGAACATATAGCCATTAATGTGCAATCCAGCTATCAACTTAGGCTTTTAATTAGTTGAGATGGAGCACATGCTTCAATTGTAGCTACTAAATTATTTAATTTAATCAGAGTAATAAATTGGCGTACATACTTTTCATCAACAATAATGAAATCATTGATTTTTTTTTTTTTAATTTACACTCGTTGTTGAGACAAATTGTTTTAAGAGTTTGTCAATGACAATTGTTACAATTACTGTCAATAGAGGATGATAATAAATAATTCAAAATATATAGTTACAATAGATATTGTTATAATGATATAGTAAAAATTAACTTACAAATTTCTTTTGAAGTTTTCCTGCATTGATAAAATTTTTATGTGTAGACTTGTTTAATTGGAGCCAGTAGGATGTCAACATTGTCAATTCTTTGGAAAATGGTCCTACCGTTTTAGAGTCCAGGTGTAATTGTATTTATGATCAACAATTTTGTACTTAGGTCGCGCATGTCTGACAATGATGTAAGAACACTTTTGTTTGATAAAAAAAAATAGTATAATATTTGTAAAGTAATGTACAATTGTACCATTACATAAATATATACAAAAAAATATTAATACCATAACGACCTAAATCATACCAATAATTCAAAAATATAATTGACATATTAAGTTTTGTTCTTATCTAAATAATCAAAGAAGATTAATTAAACGAAAAAAAAAACTTAACCTAAATTTGTTTTTTTTTTTAAATGCATAAATATCAAATGATTTTTAAAGTTCTTGATTTATAATCTTTGATGCTTAACTTTGAATGTTATATATTTAGTCGGGCTAATTATTTGATCAAAGTTTATGTTAAATTTTATATTATATATTTTTTAATACATTTTAACATATTCATAGTATATGTTTGATAATTATTTCAACTCTAATTGTGATGGGGTTCGAACCTAAGACTTTTTTTTTTTTTTATATAAATTAATGAGTAAGTTAAAAATAATAAATAGTTAACGGAATATTCTCTTACTAAAGTTTATACTAACGGAATTTAGGTTATTTAAGAGAAGAAAATAATATAATAGAGGGTAAATAAGAAAAATCATTAAAAAAAATACTAAAATCAAAATAATATGAACCATTCATTTTAAGAAACAATAGTACCGACATTCCTTTGTTCCAGTTAAGGACCTAACATTATTGACTCTTATTAGAATTGTATATATATATATATATATATATATATATATATATATATATATATATATATATATATATATATATATATATATATATATATAGGGAAGGGTTCCTGTGCGGTTGGACACCTTTATAATTAACATGGCGCACCTTAAGTACACAAATCACCACGCACCTTAAGCACACAAACAAAGCACCTTAAGAACAC